CCCCAAAACCCCAAAACCCCAAAACCCCAAAACCCCAAAACCCCAAAATCTTGAATAGATATTGAACCTGCTTTAATTTTCTAGAAAGACTGGATATCATCATAAGTCCTGGATCTGATTTCAAATTTAGGAATCACAAGAGGGTTTCCAACAAGCCAATTATCGAGATCCACCATTTTCCATGTTCCGAAAGTATGCTTGGCAATCCATTCCATCAGGTTTTCACTAAGGCTCCATTTGTTAAACTTTTCTGGCCCGATCATCTCAGACTCAAAGACGCCAACGTGTTGCCATGTGTAATCTTCGGGATAATCAAAGATTGATTTTCCATTAGAATCTTTCAAGTGAATTTTATATCCACTCTTGAAGCATACATAGGCTCTAAAGATTATTCGGTGGGCGTCAGTGTGCATATATTCATTAGTCTTCGGATTAGTGAAGCTCTCTGACTTAGTGATGTACTTAGGCACATATGAAATGAAACCCATTTCTTCCAAGTCATTATGAATTATGTAGTCATCTTCACTCCCATTTTCCTTTCTATGGATATTGACTCCTTTTATCACAGTGGTATCATACATGTTGGCCTCAACTTCAATGGGCCTCATGTCTTCTTCATATGAACACGTGAGCCCCTCCTTTCTTAAATTCTCGAGCCTCTTGATCAATTTATCAGCAAAGGTTTCTTCTCAGTACTCTTTGAGAAAGTCGTAATCTCTATCAGCAGCAGATAGAAGTGTAGCCCGGAAGATTTTATATAGATGCTCTAGGACTTCTCCCTTGTGGATCTTCATTCTCGAGAAAATCTGGTCCCCAAGAAACCTCTGCTTGATTTCCATCTCAGGAACACCATTGATCAGCCATGGAATATTCAGATTTTTGGGATTTCTCTTGTAGTCTGGGATATCTTTAGAGAAGAATTCAGGAAGGAATTCATCTTCTTCAATAAAGTCATCTGCACCTAAATGGTCATAGTCTTCTTTAAGGAATTCTGGCTTTTCATATTTTCTGTTTTTACCGAACCTCTGCTCATAATCAGTTTTGCCAGTCTTTTGTTCTTTATGATCTGAAGTATCTTCTGTAGACATGAAAGCTCAGCTCTTATGGACCAAAGAAGGCCTTAATAAGGAAATCTTCTTGGTTCTAAGTGCCATTGTAGGCGCCTTGGTGTATCATTTCAGGAATTGTCTTGTGAACATCACTGGACTATAATAATTTATATTATCTGATGGGATATTTTTGGGGTTTTGGGGTTTTGGGGTTTTGGGGTTTTGGGG